TGGCGTATCCCAGTAGTGCTTTTGCAATAACGATCACTCTACCATTTTATTCTTCTGGTGATAAAAAGATAAAATGCTCAGCGTAAATGAATAAATAGATAGATAAGTAAGTAAATAAATGAGTAAACAAATAAATGCTAATTAATAAGCCAATGTTTTTCTGATTGTTTCTGATATAGGGACTTGCCAATTTCCAAAGCCCTCTTGCATTTTTTTTGTTGCGTTCTATTGACGCATGAATAAATGAATAAATAACTCAATGTAAAAAATATTGATTACAGACATGATCGCAATGTGAGGTTAAAAATTGTTTATTCAGCTCACAACTATGATATCAAACCCTCTACTGTATACCGACTACGGGCTACCGTTTTAATTAATCAAGTCGAGAGTTCACCATCAAAACTTATTCTGCTAAACACCAGAGAAGCAGGTGAGCCCGATTGTGAAAATTCAATTTTTTGTTTATTTGATTATTACAGCCGCTCAAGGCTATGGTACGACAGGAGTGAAAGCCACATTATAGTGGTTAAAGTATAGCAAAAGACATAAATTACTAGTTACAGATATACAAGATGAAATTAGACATAAAATATCACTTAATGATGGTTTCATGTAATTTAAACTGGGATATTATTGTTCCCAGAAAATAATAAGAAGTCCTATAGGGTATTGCTTTAGCCGTAACCAAGATGTATAAAAGTTTTATTGGCTACGTTTCGCCACTTATCGCCTTCGTCGGGCAGCCATAGAAAAGTCAAAAATCAAAGTGAAACTACCCTCGGAAATCATTTCAAACCTCAGATAAGCTAGTCCCAGACCAGTAGGATCCAGAAAGTCATAGAACACAACCACAAACGACTCACCTTTAATGCACGGCACCGGGGGGCGGGGGGTTTGTTTCAGACCACCGCTAAATAGACTCCCCGTCGGTGGCTTCAGCTGACCTGACCGCTCTACTTGATGCCGATGGCAACTGAAGCCCACACAGGTCAGCAAACGGGGCGAGCTCGTTTGTGATGGTCAGGCATTCGTCCTTTCTATTCATTCTGGGATTTTTAGCGCTAATCCAAAACGCTTCCAAAGTTTTGCGCGCCGAAGTCTGTGGTTCTCGCATGATTGAGACGAGTGCCTGAAAACCATCACAAACGAGCTGCGCCCCGTGCGACCTGTGTGGGCTCGAATTGCCCATCGGCCTCGATCGATGGGGCCAGAGTCAGCTGAAGCCACCGACGGGGAGTCTATTTAGCGGTGGTCTCAAAGAAGAACCGGTCGTGCATTAAAGGTGAGTCGTTTGTGGTGTGTTCTATGACTTTCTGGATGCGTCCTCGGGTTGGCTACTAGCTACCTGGGAGGTTGAAATGATTCCGATGAGGGTAGTTTCACTTTAATTTTTGGACTTTTTCCAGGCTCTGGACGAAGGCCCGGTTAAGGCTCGCCGAACGTAGCGCAATAAAACTATTGTATTAGCGCATGGTCTCATTACGGCAAAGCATAGACGCGAGTATTGTTAAGAATCAAAGTATGCCCAAGAATTCATCTGCAGAGTCGAAACCTGTACACTTAAGAAGTCCATTTTTATTTGGATCGGACGAATGCTTATACACAAATCAAAGATCAATAAAGCCGAAAAATCCCTGTATGAATTTAGAGGAGGGGGAGGAAAGAGGGCAATTTCGCATAGTTTCGCTAGTCCCTATTCGTTGTATCATGATGATAATGAGTGGTCTTATCTTGGTGAGACCAGTGAACTCTTGTGAAGATTTTGTGCCAATTCGGACGCAGATTTCACTTCACAAGTTGGCCTCTACAAGCTTCGCTGTGTACTAAATGGTCCCCACACCAAGTCGAATTGCGCCAAAAATTCATTCCAAACCTTTTAAGCTTCGAAGTCACCACTCATTCAAGCTGTAAAGGTACTAGTCAATGGCAGTGTGTTCTTCGATTTTTTACCTGCTGAAGATGTGGATCTAGTTTCGGTAGGATTTTATCTAACATATGTGCATACTATAAAACGGAAACTCTGTGGTTACAGAACTACACTGTTGAATACCGAGATGTGACGAGTGGTGAAGCAAATTGGAGTCATTTCGATTTCGAATCGGATGCGTCAAGTCGAGTGCTGCTCACCAGCCTTCTACCCAACAGGACTTATGAGGCCCGTCTGTTCATGAACGGTCACGTCATTCATGGACGTCGCTCACGGACGGTCACATTCACCACGAACAACACTGGTATGATTACTGTCTTACGCCTTTCGATTTCCGACTTCCGATAACATAATGAGATATAGGCTGAACTTAGGAAAGGTCTTTGTGTTCCATCAATGAAGGAACCACCTTCTGATGGTGGTTCTTACTCGAAATTTTCCAGAGCTAACTTGTTCCCCTTTATGAGCAGTACACAGCTGCAAGCTTGTTCGCTGCTTATGCTGGGGAGGGTCAGGAGGGATGAGTTTGGCGTGGCGTCACCACGTTCTTCACCAATCGCTGAAGCGGGCAAGCGACAACAATTGGTGGAAAACTAGGGATACGAACGATATGATACAGTCTTCTCGCCCTCCTGAGCGGGGAAAAAAAGAGCTGCCAAACCAGGCGAAACTCGCCACCCCCAGCATCAGTAGTAAACAATACTTAATTGGGCAGCATTTTATGGTTCCCTGCGCTGGAGTTGCAGGCTTCACACATGATTAGGGGGAGGGGCTTATAAATGGAGATCGTTCCCAAAATTCTCATGGTGCCATCTAATTATTTGAGATTTTTGTTATTCGTTGTGTCCATATTGTTTTTAGCTCAGTTGCCTGAAGTGACTTTGGACCCGGAAAATGAAATCGTACTCGATCCCGACCTCTTGGTACCGGCTTGAGGTTCGCTGTGACGTTATTTCGACACCACCAACCAAAGTATTCTGGCTAGTTAATGGTAAGTATTATTATTATCAGAATTCAGACGATAATTGACGTTGCAAAAGTTGGTAAGGGGGTTTTCATGAACCATTCAGTGAAACTAGAGGGTTACGCTCCGAGGAGTAGTACGATGATACCGGGGAGCATCTGAAAAGTGGTGTAGCCGAGGCAATTCCGTAGACTCTGCGCGATGTTCTTAGGGCTCCGCTCATTACTGTCGCTCTCAGTCATTTTCATATTCTATTCGACACCTTTATTTTGGGGAACAAGAAACGGACTGAGAATCCTCCGCCGGCAGACCTGGCTGTCAGAATGAGTTTTCGGATCCCTCTCTTGGGTGCCTCATACGCAGATATTCTTGTCGTATACGATTCTTTAGACAGAACAGTAAATTCAGAGGTGCGCGATCACTACCATTATGACCGTAACAAGTTTTAATTTAACAATTTTGAGGTGAATTTACATCGGATGATCCTTGTTTATTTTTCCGTAATAGTCGCGAGTATTATTCGGGGTGAATCGCAGATAATCTAGGGTAGCGGCAATTGCCAAGGCTCGAATACATACTATGGTGGGAGCGCTTGGGGGCGATTTTGGGGAGTCGTCACTCCAGTAGCACGGCGAACCACTTTGACAGGCCACGCTCCACACGGGGATAAAAAAACGTAGGTGTGGTTACTCTCCCGCGATACACGAGCGCCTTCAGATTTCTCTCTTCATTCAGAGCATACCAGCAACGAGCAAATACGACGCCCCCTCCCTCATAGCGTCCGCGAAACAAGAAAAATCAACTATCAAGGAAATTTTCTCTACCAATGACCCCCCCCCCCTCTTCCCCAGCAATCAAATACGACTCCCCTGTTGGGGAATCCCCAGCGATGATGTGCCCCGATGAGGAAGCAGCCTTGAAAAAAGTGTCACGTACAAATCATTCGGGCCAGGACCTGAACGATTTGATGTGGAGATGCTACAGTATGCCTCAAATCTAGGGAATATTACTTAGTTTGCAGCAGCCTAAATCGCAGATTGGAGCACGTTGTAAGATGTGGATCCCCAGAGCGGGGGGAGGGGAGTGGGAGCAGGGATCCTATTTGGTTGGGTTTCGGTTGTTGACTTTCCTTTGGTTTTTCCTGTTTCGAGTGCGCTCCCCTCCTGTGAAGCTTGTATTGCACGTCGGGTAGCATAGCTTCTTTATTGTCGTAACATAGGGAAAACAACCGCAAACTTCGTAAACTGAACCTCACTCTGTCATGAGTGGGGCTTATATATCACACGATAGGGATATGACCTTATAGGCGGAAACACCTCCTTGACGGCAGTTTTTTTCTTGGAAGACTGTGGAATTTCTGAAGAAAACTCTAGGGGAAAACTCCAGGAAGGTTGATGTTGGGGAATTCTGGGAAGTTTGGGAAACTAAGAAGGGTGGTCCATGGTATAGGGAGGTAGGGAGGGTCGTAACAGAGGGAAAAATTCTGGGGCGAGGGTTGATTTCTGCAAAATTGCCCCCTCCCCCAAAACAGGACGTGCCCTGTTTTAAATATTCTGTGGAGGTAGATATGGCTAGAAAATCGTCGCTAGCGATAGTTCAGCCTAACCTGCACGCACTTCGTGGCAGGGTGGGAGGGATTCTACTCTTGCACTCGAGGTCAATCTTTACTTGAGGCTATCGCTGGAATGACTTTTCGAGAAATCTGGTGACTTGGGGTGTTTTGGGAATGAGGGCACTTTCGTTCTCTCCTTTTTGTGTGTTGAGGGAGTCAGGCCACTCTCAAGGATAAATAATCGATCATTCTCACCCGCGAGTCCTGCTTCTAGCCTTAATTTTAAAAATGGAGGTCGCAAAAGGTGAATAAAAATAGAATTTTCTTAATGGTGCTTGAATTTTTCTATTATTAGATTAGATGTTGCTCACCATTGTGCCATTTTGTGCAGTTACGTGTTTTAATAAATTGTAGTGCACCGGTCTTTTCGAAGCAAACGCCCGTGCCTTATTGAAGTGCCGCGGTTGTGGGCGGAGCGGTCGCGGATGGTGGGCGGGGCGGGCACAAGGCGGCAGCCGTTATTATTGTTCCATGAACTTTAACATTCGCTTTTTATGGAAAAAAGTTATCCCGGTGGTAATTTTCAGGTCCAGTTCCTCTACCGTTCGTCGGCAACCTTCTCGCCCTGTATTTCTACGAACCCGGCTATGAAGCCTTCCGCCTATGGAAAGAAAAATATGGCCGATGTTTTACTTTTTGGATGGCCGATCGACCTGCTATAGTGATAGCAGACTATGAACTGATGAAGGAACCTTGGTCAAAGATGGTGCTGCCTATACAGGGCGTCAGGATGTACCACTTTCGAAGATGGTGCGAGGTAAGTACTGTATTCAGCGGCTGCATCACATCCTGAAAGCGCGGTCACGCTGTTCGTGTAGGTTGAGACATTTGACCGTTTTGCTATCCTTATTGACACGCTTTTCTTTACCATCGTAGAAGGACAAGTGCACAAGTGAAAAAGATGCAGTGACTGGGTGTCTCCGCCGTACAATCCGTTCAAAAGCTCGAAGGCGGCGCTAACCACCATTGTGTTTTTCTTATTGAGCGCCTTCCAAAGATAGAGTGAGTCAGCCTCTGTCTCCGCCCATATGACCAATGCGGACTGTGTCGTCAAGCATCCCCAATCGCTGCGCCACCTCATCCGACAGTCCGGCAGTTTTTGGTCCACACAGCCTTTTAGAAGAGGTTTCAATTTGGGAAGAAATGAGCCCGGACCAAATGATTTCCTTTTAGGTGGAGATTATGGAGTGGTTGCAACAACTGGTGAGTTATGGCAACAGCAACGTCGGTTTGCCTTACATGTGTTCAGGGATTTTGGCATGGGAAAGGATGTCATGCAGGAGCGGGTGAGTAAAAAATATAAAAATAGTCTAGAGATGATACAGCCCCCGACGTTATTCAGAAAAA